TTAACGTTCATTCTTTGTTTAATTATTTGTTGTTGTTTCAAAAATGATTGCTTCAAATTGTCATCAGCGAAATATTTGTCTCTAAAATCACGAAATAGTTTCGCTTGATATTTTGCTGCCTGTGTTACACATTTTGCTTGATCCGCATTTTTGTTTTTGTTTTTTTTTTTTGTATTTTTTCATGTTAGTTTTTAGTCAATTACAAGTAGAGAGTGTGTTTCAGTTAACAATAATGTATTTATCATTATTATAATTGTTTTTTTATGCTATTAACAATTTCCTGTAATCAAGTTTTGCTTCATAAGTGTTTTTTTTTATTATTATTTATATTATAATGCAAGTATATAGATAGGGGAAAATAAGAAACACATGCTCTTCTTTTGCTAAGTATTCCATGTCTTCTCCCACTTTGCAAAATAATTGAATTAATGAAATCTTTTAATTTCAATTCCATTAGCCCACAATTTGTTCTCATAGAATTGTTGCAGAAATTAATTATTTTTTGTTAATTGTCAATTAAATAATATATGTATTTTTGGGATATGTTTGCCATTATATGTTTTGTAGTTTGAATAATTTCATTTGCTGATGATTAGAATAATTTGTTCGAATTTGAATTGGTTTATTTTTGACGTGGATATGTATGGGTATTTTTTTATATTATTTATTTATATAAATTTGTTTTGTATGTATGTTTCTTATGCATTAATTTAATTTGTATAATCAAAATTTGACACATATTGTCGCCTGTGGGCGGAGAGCTCACGTTCGAGCTGCCGGCTCACAAAGTATTTGCAACAAACTTTTTAACTATCTTACGGATTGATGTCTCGGCTACAGGCTAAACTAACACACATATAAATTGTAATTAATATTTAATATGCTTATGTATGTGTGTTAGTGTGTGTGTGTTAGTGTGTGTGTGTATGTGTGTGTGTGTGCATTGTTACTATTGTGGCTTATAATTATTAACTAATTTTTGTTTAACAAGCCACAGTAAATTGTTTGCTCTATTCTTTTTTGCTTTTTAGTGCCCAGCCTAGAGAACTAAACTTATAAAAAAATTAATTTAAGTAAGTTTAACATTGAAAATCAGTTTATTTTTGATGTTTTGTTGTTTTGCGTATAAATTTAACAGCTAATAAAATAAAATTATACTTTAATTTAAGCATAATTGCAATATTAATAAAATTAAATCCATTTTTCTCATTTTCTCATTTAGCAGAAAAAGTCTTTTTAATCGCCGCAAATGTGCTTAAGCATTATTATTGTAATTTAAATTTTGACACTTATTTTAACGTTTTCGCTAAAAACCAAATAATAATAAAATAAAAAAAAGCGTTGTCTAACAAATATATAAATTTGGCTTCAAATGTTACGATCAGTTTTTGCTTTCTTTCGCGTTCAACAAATTATAGCTAATTTCGAAAATTGAAAATCAAGTTGTATTAAATTTAATTTAATTTAATTTAATTATTTAATTATTCAATAGTTTTTATATTATGTAGTTTAATCAATAAAATGAATTAATTTTGTCCTTCAGTCTAAACATATTCAAAAATCACAAATACAATTTCGATAACAATTACAATAATAAAAATAATAAAATTACAAATTATGATATCAATTAATATATGTATTTATAATGTAATCTGTGCAGCGTTATATTTATATGAATCGATGTAATTCATATGAATATAAGCAACAAACACATGAAATTTATGTCGAAAATAATTATTCATTTATTTGTTTTTTTTGTTTAGTTTTGTTTTTTTTTTTGTTTTTGTTTTTGTTATGCTTGTCTCTTTGCTTTGTTTGCTTGTTGTTTTGGCCTGGCTTGGCTTGGTTTAATTAAATCTTGTTATACCCTTTTTGAGTTTTATAAGTGTATTTATTTATGTTTTTGTTTGCTTTCTTTTTTTTTCTTTTTCTCTTTTCTTATTTGGTTATGCACACGCACAATTACTTGGCTTAAGATTTAACTGCATTTAGAAATTTGTTGTTGTTTCTTATGATTTGTTTGCTGTATTGTTGGTTAATATTTGTTTATTTTATTTATGTTTATGTTTTTTGTTTGTTTTCTGCTTTGTTGCATTTGTCTTCATTTTGACTAAGCTTAGAATTAATTGCTGTTCTGTTCTTACTTTGAGGGCGCGCTAACTGTGTAGTTTGGCGCCCGAAAACGGTTTTAACATAAGGTTAATTTTTTATTTTTTGATTTTAAACTTAATAAAAAATATCATAATTAATAAGAATCAATGAATAAATATAACGTGTATATATGCTTACATGTTTGTATGGGCGTGGATGTGTGTATATGTGTCTGTAGATATGTGGATGTGTGTCTGTGTGGGAGCTGTGTTTCTGTGTATGACATCTGATGCTTTATGCTCCTTCTTCATGTGATTTGACCTTGTCATATGATTTGTTTACTGTTTTTTATGTTTATGTTTTTTATCTTATTGCTTATTGAAAAATGCCGCTTCCACTGTCAAAGGTCAGTTGTCAATTGCGACAGTTTTTCGGCTCCATTCTATTTGCTTTTTGCTTGTATTATTTATTTTGTTGTTGTTGTTGTTGTTATTTGTTTTAGTTGCGTTGCACTTAGTGTATGGGCGTTTTAACAATTGCACTGGGCGCGATATAATGATAGCCGGGTATGGGCAGTCCAGCGGTCTCCATTGATATTCTGCAAGGTAAGAAAACATGATTTAGAACAGTTCTATTTATGATTATTATTGTATATTTAATTGAAATTAAACAATAGTGCGAAGCTCTACTTCTTATCTATGCCGTAACTTAAAGATGGGTTACTTATGTCTCTGGTATCCAACTACACATTAATTTTTTAAGAATGTGTACCATTTGGATTATATATTTTGTGACTAAGTTACTTTAGGTTTAAGTTACTTTAATAAAAATATATGAAGCTTCCTGTTTCGTTTACGTTCTGTTAGTAGATCTTTAGGAGGAGACTTTTGTAATATTATTAAAAGCTTTCTAAATAAACTCGCTTTATTCATTCAAAAAAAAAACGTTTGAAGCCCGCACTTACTTTTCTGTTCTAAACGAAAGCTTAAATAAAATATTGTTATTAGATTTCATTGAGGTCGTGTTTTTGTTTTTAGTATTTCTTCATTTTTATTACAAACGCAGTTTTCATTACAATTTGCTTTGATTGCATATAAATATGTTTGCTTGTTTGTTGGTTTTGTAATTAGTTTTGTTCGCAGCTAAGAATCGCGACTAAAGGTAAAAAGCGATTTCTTGAAATTGTTAATTTTTTATGGTGTTTTGTTTTTTTTTTTTTTCAGTGTGCCTATTCATGAAAAGTAGTTAGTTAGTACATATACATTCATTACAAGAACTATTATCGATTTGCATTTGACTCGATCTCTACTTTGTGTAAATGTCGTATAATATACGTGTATGTATTTTAAGTTAATTTATGTTTTGTATATATGTATATGATTTGGTTATAAAATCGTAAGCCCGCTTAGCTTAAAAATAAATTTATTACAATTTGTGTCATTTCACTTAGTAAATAATAAAAACTCTTAATCGTACTTATGTATTGTGTAAAAGGGTAGAGAAATTTCAATTTCCAAATACTTTTTTCTTTTTTTCATTTCAACAATCATTTTTCACCAATTTAAAAATGTTTTGGTTTTATTTGCTTGATTATACAATACAAAATAATATTAATATAATAATAATAATAATAACAAATATACGATCGTATAATAAATACAATACAATAATTTAGAAAATACCAAATTACAACTAATCCGAATATGACTTAAAAACAATTTGAAGACTTCAAGTCCAATACATAATAACGTTTCCCGTTTCTCTATAAACTTTACGCTTAACAACATTTACGAGTACAAATGTTTCTCTCGCTGCCTTCAGTTGGCTTCTTTTAAGTGTGTTTCTTTAAAAATTTTGTAGTTTTTTTTCTTAAGCTTTTGTACGCTCACTTGCGTGGATTGCGTCAATTAGAGCGAATTGGTCCATAAAAGTCGTTGTGCCGAATTCTTTTGAGCACAATGCATTGGAATTTGTAGATTTAATTTTTGTTTTAATTTCTCGTTCAACTTCTTTAAGAAGTTTCCTTTTGCGTTCTCGACACATGGCTGAGAAGGGGCTTTATACTTAGGGGCTAGAGCGTAAAATACAATTAGTGCTTAGTTGCTATTTAGAGAAAATATGAATATTTGCTCGTAGAGATATATTGGAGAATGTTTAAAGGGGGAGTGTGATAGGGTCATAGATGGCATCTATATATTTTACAATAAATGTGTGAGAAGGGGATGCTAATATTATATGTGCTAAATATATATATATATATTTATGTATATGTATACTGCTACCTGTTATCGAATTTCGATAGTAAGCGATTCACAAACTATACTTTCAGGTTTTTCTTCTCTGTCTCGGGTTGCGCTAAAATTTGGCAAATTCTATAATGTACGATAGTTGATTTAGTTTATGTAACTATATAAAAAGGGATTAGGGCAAAAGACTATAACACCTATTAGAAGAAGGGTCCTTATGCTGCATTTCACTTGGTCAAAGTTTTTGATTACAATACTTGGGCTAGGTTCATGATTTTTCACTTCTTATAATCATTGTTATTCCTCTTCCTCTGCAATATTCGATACACGATTTTGTTCAAGTGCTTGATCGTTATATATGTATATATATGTGTGTAAATAACTGCCGTATGTGACAGTCTTATAGAATAATTGTTTTCAAAAAACATTAATAGATATATGCGGCATTGAAAGACATAGGCCTGAACTACAAACTAATTTGGATACTGTAGCGATTGGGCCATCAACTAGTTTATAAAAATTGTCTTTAAATTTTTAAATAGTTTTACAAATTTTACACTTTAAGATTTTTGTTTTCTTTTTTCAATTAAATCGTTTTCCTAGAGCAAAAAATTCTTTAAGAATCGTAAACTCTTAAGCTGTCGCTACGCTATAAACTTGTTAAGAACTAGAAAAAGCTAAAACTAACTCGACTATAGGCAAATGATGATCGCATTTTTCTGGGGTATTTTCTTTGAATATTTGGGTATTACTTTTGGGCTGCCAAGATTGTTCGTCTGACTGGGCTGGTTTTTCTACTGCTAGTTGTATTTATATGGCCTACCCCTAGTAGGGATTAAACTTGTTGCGCGCCTTCTCCGACTCGACGCCGGCCTCGGTCTGATGCTGCCTGAAGCGCGAGGTCGCGTAGTGACCCTTGGCACGGTTAACGCCCGTGGTCTGTACCGGCGGTCCGCCGGGCGTGCCACTGTTGCTGCCATTGTTGCCCAACGATGTCAGGCTAAGCAGATCCAAGGCGCTCAGATTTGATAGGGCCGTGAGGGCGCCCGGTTTGGTCAGCAGTTGCAGGGCCGACGCCAGTGGACCGCCGCCCAAAGCAGCAGCCGCTGCTGCCGTAGAATTTATGCCCAGAGCTGCGGCGTTGCTAGCTCCGTTGTTGTTGCTGCTGTTGCTATTGTTGTTGTTGTTGTTGTTGTTGTTGTTATTATTGCTGCTGCTGTTGTTGTTTTGGCTGCCATTTGTAGCATAGTTGGAGGCGCCGTTGCTGCTGCCATTGCTGCTGACCGAGCTGCTGCTGTTGTTGCTACTGGAGCTGTTGTTGGCACTGCCCGCGAGCGACGCCGTTAAACAGCTGTTGCCATTAACACCGCCAGCAACTGCAGCTGCCGCTGCTGCTGCTGCTGCCGCGGCTGCTGCCGTTGTTGTGGCACCAGCAGCAGCAACACCGCCAACAGCTGCTGCCAGTGCAGCAGTGCCATTTTGTGCTGCCTGATCCTGAAGATTGGCCTTCTGCAGTTCAACGCTGTGGATGAGGTACACAGAGAGATAGATAGAGACAGAAAGAAAGAGAAAGGAACTTATGGGATATTGTTGTTTTTTTTTTTCAGGTATTTTTCAAAACATTTTATTTTTGGTGATTTTGTGGAATTGAGTTGGTCAGTTCTTTAATTTTATTTTTTTTTTTTAATTGCTTTAGTGTTTTGTTATGCAAAAAAGGTTAAGGAGGTTTTTGTGTGGAGGAACGGTACGGAGTAAACGGAAATATAGCAAAGTCCTGAGGAGAACTTTTGGGCGCTATGTTTGGTTTGTTGATGGTGGGAGCGGCGTTCAAATTTGTTTTTTTTTATTTTTGGATGGTAGGAGTAGAAAACGTGGTTATTTTTCTAGTTGTTGGACTTGACCGAAACAGTATTTAAAAGTTTTTTAGGATTGAGCTTTAATTTGGTGGGATTTTTGGTTAAGTTTAGTTTGTTGCGGGTTTGGGGAGAGAGGAGCATAGTTTTTATTTGGTTTTTGTTGTTTTTTTTTTTTTGGTTTTTTTTTTTTAATTTCTGTGGATAGGTTGAACTGCAGTTTCTTTTTTGAAGTACCAATTGTTTCAGTTTCAGTTTCAGTTCCAGTTTTAGTTTGCTTGTGTGTGCGAGAGTGCGACGCGTGACGTAGTTTTAGTTGATGCTGTCCATTTTGCTCCTGCTCCTCCTCCTCCTCCTCCAACTTGACTGCTGAGCTGAGACTTTTTGTGTATATATACACATATATACATTGGTATACTAGATGCTAGGTTATATATATTTATATATAGAATTAAAGGTTTATAAAGAAATGTATGTTATGCTAGAGTTTAGAGTTTTCTGGTGCTGAATTGTTTTAAGTTTTGTCTATGCATGAAATTGTGCGTTACATTTCAGTACATTTTGGAACTACATATGAAAAAAGCAGTTAGGTGCTGAATGCGGGCTTACGACTTATAATACACTAGTGTAGAGTTTGAGTTTAAGCTTAAGATTACAAGAGTTTTGAACGCTCTGCCCCAGACTCTACATAAACAAGTATGACTTAAAAAAAAATACTGAGAGACCGAGACGACCGATACGACCGACGACCTCCTTAGACCTTATTTTCTGACTTTGTCAATTTGCAAATCAATTCGACAAAATGCATTTAGACAACAAATACACACACATACACACACACACACACACACACATACATATATATTTATATATTTATTAAATAGTTTAAAGTGCAGAGCGACTCACCTCATATTGATTAAGTATTGGGCCAATGCCACCGAATCTGGATTACCGCTTATGGTGATGGTGCGATCGGTATTGCCGCCCTCGCGCTCCTCGCAATTTGAGATGCGTATCATGGCGCCGGAGATCTGACGTATTTCAGCAATTTTGGTACCGCCCTTGCCAATGATGCAGCCAATCAAATCATTTGAAACTGTCATCTCGTGCTGCTGTTGCTGTGCCCGATTCGCATTGGCCGTACGCAGCTGCGAACCAGCCAAGGCAGCCAGAGCTGTAAAAAGCAAAACCATCGATTTTTAGTACATAACACAAATGCATACATGCAAACGAGAAGCACTCTGCGTAATACCACCGAATTGATGGGACTTACCTGTGTGATTTATACCGCCAGTGCTAGCTGGCGTCATGCCGGCCAGGCCCAAGGCAGCCAAACTGGCTAATGGATTCTTGGCAACCTGTTGGAAAGGCAACTCGACATTACAAACTTTATTCACATTAGTTATATTAGTTGTTATTATGATTATGTTCTTGAGAGAGGTAGTACATGGGCACATATTACTTGATTAGAAACTTTCATGTTTGGATCGGTTTTTGTACATATAAATATGTGGTTAGATATTATCTTTTCGTATGGAACGGGTATCACAACACAACGCGCGTACAGGTTTTAAAAAACGGACGAACATAGAAAACCCATACAAAATATACAAGAGAAATATGAAAAATTAAAAAACTCAAAATAATAGAAACAATAGAACACAAGGACTTGAAATTAGTGTGAATTAAAGCAAAAGCAAATGCAATAAGAGCAAAGCCAAAACAATAACAATTTTGCTTACATATCAGACAAACATTATTAACATTTTGTACAGGTTAGAAGAAACATTTGAATAAGCATTTGTCTCTGTGTGTGTGTGTGTCTTGGTGTGTGTGTTTTGTAGTATTTTGTTGGTCTCGGTTTTGGCAAGTACTTGAAAGTATTCTGGGGCTTTTGCTAATGTACTTGTTGTGTATTTTCTATACTTGTTTCATATGTACTACTACACAATAACGAGTTGGATTTATATTTGAATATGGGATATTTTAGAGCTACACAGACAGAGATCAAATACATTAAGTATGAAATTACAATTAATACTATAACATTGGAGTATTCACAGGATCAGCGTTGACGCTTAGGGCGATAAACATTTAATTACAGTATAGGATATATATAGAAATTACAGTTTTCGCCGGTTACGAAAGTTTTAAATAAATATAATAACTACATTTTGAAATACCCATCACTGGGTCAGTAATATAAGAAATTAAGATTTCTTAAATAGTAATTACTATAAAAACTGTAAGAATGTAAACTTCAGCTAGCTTTAGCTCTGATCTGCAGATCTAATCATCTTTCATGGTCCTCAGAAGTGATGTACGTAGTATTCTTCAGCCAGTCTGTGGCACATATGTACATCTATTAATGTAAACAATCTGCCTGCATGTCATTATTTTCTTAGATGAAATTAAGCAGACTTTTGAATTCCTTGCTGTTCTTTGAAACGCCAACACAGTTCTATTCAAATCAGTTACCAGCAAATGCATTCAAAACTGCAGCCCACAAACCATATTTGTACGATTTGTTCAAGGACTTACATATGCATAGATATTCAAAGTTTTGCATCCGCAACACCTACAGCAAATAACACACACACACACACAAACACACACACACACACGCACGCAGAGCACATCCTGTACAGCTGCAACTATATGCATTATGTACAACAAATACATAAATAAGTATATGTTGGGGAAACGGGGTTTTGGAAGGCAGACACAACATCAAGGCAGCACGCTTTATAAATTAATCAAATCGAATGCAAGATTTGCAAATAATGAATGCATGTTGCACAGATACATCTATATAAAATGCAACACACGAATGGAATTAGGGGAAAAATATCGCGACAAAAAAAAGAAGAGAGTAAGAAAAATCATAAAATATTGAAATGGAATGTTGATGTGTATTTCTGTGTGTGGTGTCCATGAACATGCACATATATATGTCATATATTTGGCATATACAAATGACTATACATATGTGTGGTGTTTTTTTTTTTAAATCAAATATTTATCTAATGCAGAAACAAATAAACATGCACTGTATGAAAATATAGTTTGCTGTGCACTTCTCTTACAAATGGAATGAACTTGCAACTCAATACGAAGAGAGGGCGGGCGCAGGTTGGATGGGCGGGCTGTTAAAGGGTCACAAAACTCGTCATAGAAAGTAGCGTTTGGCATATTAAATAAACATATCTTGGGGCCACAGCACACAGCAGCATGGCTAAAACAATTCACAAATTATATTGCAACTCTTGAGCCATAAAAATGCATTTGATGGGTTCGCTCTGGGTCCCCCGAGTTGCCGGATTTTAAGCGTGGTGGCCCAACTTAAAACAAAACTAAAAACTGAAAAAGCATGAACGAAATCCAACAACTTTGTGGTCCAACAGTTGCAGTTGGGGAAGAGTGGAGCATGGAAAGGGCATGGGGACACACAACGTTAATGTTATTGAAATGTGGCCTGACCACAGTTGCAACGCTGGGATCGTAAAAGAAATGGCAGAGGTAGTAAAGGTAACTACAAGAACACAAAACTACAAAACACAGACGATATGCAGGGTGTGGGGGGTAACTGGGGAAAACAACTACAGGGCTGGGGGGAACACAAGATACACGAGTAACAACAAACAGCAATGCACAAATACAACTGTATAAGGAGGGGGCTTTACGAACAGGGTCGCTGTCAATGGGGTTCACAAAGGCTGGGGGGAAATGATGTACAGCTAGAGGAGCTAGGGGGTACAATTTGAAATACAGCAACACATGCCAAAAAGAATCAAATGCTGTCTCGGCTCTCGGGCTGGACATTTATTTATTTTTTTGACCGATTTGATTTTAGGTTTCTTTTTTTTTTTTTTTGTTGTTGAGGTTTTAAGCTAGTTTCGGTAATTTTAATTTTATTTTCGGATCAATCAAAACTCACATCGGGCATTTGCTGTAGGTGATGGTGGTGTGCTGGTACCGCTCCTGGTAAATGTGCCCCCTTTAACAAAGGATCCGCTAAGCCTGAAATACCAGCATGTAGACCACCGGTAGCCAAAGCAAGTGGAAATACTGGACAGGTCTAATGGTATTTTTTTTTTTTTTTTTTTGTATATTTGGTATTTATTTAATTTAGTGTTTGGTGGGTATTTATGATGTATTTGTTTTGCAAAAGTTTTCAAAGAAGAAAAAAGTAGAAGAACAAAAATGATTTACGAAAAATAAATTTTGAGCTAATATATTTTTGCATATAATTGAAAAGCTTATGAAATATATTTCACTATATTATTTTTAATTGGAAACTTGCATAGTTCACGGTTCGTTGGGGCTTTCAAAGCTTTTTGAAGGAAGCGAGAGACAAAAAAAAAGTGTGCTAAGTTTTGGGGTAAACGAGGCTGATCGTGAATATTAATATATGATATAAAGAGTTTGTATTTTCTCAAAAACAAATGCTTAACAACTAAGAGAACAAACTAACAAAGGAAAGGCAAACGATTCGGTTCTGGATACTGGTTCCAGGTCAATTGGGGTTCAATGGGTGCGCAAACCGTGGATGGAGTCTAAGAGTACTTGATGAGAAAAGGTCAATCAAATTAGCGCAAAGCCACAGAAAGTTGTCAATTGTGTACAAATATACCTTTTCTTGTAGCTTTAAATATTATGAGATACTCAAAAAATTGTTTTAAACACAGCACACGGTTCGCAAAATTTACCGAGCTTACTTGAAGTGTACCAATCAATCGGTACCGAGACTTCGCTATGCATTTGGTACAAGTGTACCAAACTGGTGCAACATTTAGTTATAATTGTACCTAAGTGACAACTTGCAACTGGTGGATAGCGACAATTGACTGGGTTTACTCATTCAACACTACACGCCGCATTAAGCTAAAAACCAACACCGACAATAACCAGGGACGGGAAAAGAGACAATGATATATATATTGTATATATATAGAGCGTTTTGTTGAGAGAGCGCAGTTGATGGTACAGATATTTTGAATTATTGTTTTTGTTTGCGGACATTAATTGAATTTGATGTGACAACAAAAACTTTTTGTTTAGTTTTAAACTATTGTTTGGAGCAATGGCTGGCGAGGGCTTAAAGGATTGAATATCAAGTTGTTGTGGCTGTTTTTGTTGTACTTGTTCTTGTACAGAGCACTAAATTGAATATTGGGCTGGGATTATAACAAATATATATATATATATATATTTATACTTAAATTCTTATGCATTAAGTATATGCGATTATAAACGGACAGAGTAGAGTTGAGTGATGTGAGGGCTCGGGCAGGACGATATTTGAATAGTATGTTGTTGCAGTTGCTAATTGCATTTATATATTTGTTGTAGTAGTTGTTTTTGTTGTTGTTTTATGACAAATGTTGGATAATATACGAATACACAATATGCATTTATAACTCATCTAAAGTATCAGCATTTCTGCTGATATTTTTGTTTGCTGACGTATTAGTTTTCTTATTGTTGTTCTTTTTGTTGTTGCTGTGGTGAATTGTGTACTTGATTTTAATTGTTCGTAAATGGGTTTGTTGTTTGGCAAATGAACTAAACATTTTAAAGTCTGTTGTAAGTATTCACTACACAAAATTAAGAGTATTAAGTATATAGATATACCAAAAAACGTGGGATAAATAGAGAAAGTTTTTTTTTGTGGGTTGTTTTTAATGCTCAGTTGAAATACTTTTAGTTTATTTTATTATTTTTTTTTCGTTTGACACTCAAAAGGAGTTTAAGTTGGTTTTTGGTAGTTTGTTGTGTGTTGTTTATGAGGTATATATATTATTTTTGGATTATATTATAGAGCTAGTGTAGTTTGAACATACTTCTCCACACGCTGCACGCGAGCCCTCGTTTCGATTACAACAGAGAGTTGAGAGAACACTTTTTATGTAGTTGTCAGACAAGTGAAGCCCCCGCACAAACTCACTCGGTTACACGGTGAGCAGCCGCGCAATGTAGAACCCTAAAAGACAAGATCCCAAAAGTGCGGTCGCCCCCAAACAAATTGGATACGACGCACCTGACGAAATCGAGAGAGCGCACACTCTCATTTTCAAGTTATTAACCTGAGAGAAGAGAGTGCAAAAGAAACTAAAAAACAAAAAACAAATGTAAAATATTATAAATATATTTATCAGTCAATTTTTTAATTTTTTTTTTTTTTTTAGTTGCTGTAAATGATTAACATTAGTTCTTTGATATTTGGGAGGGCCACCAGTGGACTTTTGAAAAGTTGAGATATTCTTTATGGCTGGGTTCAACAATACAAGACTTATATGCTTATGATCGCAAAGAAATGGTAATCGACTGGGTGATAACTGGACAAAGAACACCAACAGTTAGATACAATGCGATCTGAACCCAACTGAAGGTTATTTGGGGCATTTCAAGAGGGCAAAAAGTGGGTAACAAGTCGGTTTTGGCTCTAGACAGCTGCCAAGGCTCAAAGGGGTGTTCAAGAAAAGGTTGTGGATTACAAATATAGAAAAGATAAGATAAGAAAAGAGAAAGAGAGGTGCAAATAATAAGTGGGTTTTCTAAACGAGCATTTCAAATATTGGAGAGTTAATTGTAGAGTGGATAAACAAACTAAAAACTCTTGTTTCGTTTTATACACATAGATAGGCATATAAAGAGATTACATGAAACTCAAAAAAGTTAATTTATCAATTGAGTTATGAGAAGTTGTGGATTCTAGACGCGCATAGAGATAAACCAAACATAGTTATAGCCAAAATCAAATGGGAATATAATATAGTATAGACAACAGAAAAACATGTTATTTAGCTTATGAAAAATGGCAATAAAATAATGGAATTGGATTAAAATGTACTGAGGATCCGTTAAAATATATATATTAAAAAATATATAGATATAGACATAGAAAGATTCAGCGGCAGTAACTAGCTATAGAATGCGGCGTTATATTTGATATTTCGTTTACGTCTACCAACACGGCTTAACCTAAGCAAAAATACTTTTTGGGCACTGTGCACATACCTCTTGTGTGGGCACCGCATAGTTGCCCTGTATGGTGAAGGCCTGTCCATTGGCCAAGATAACTGGGCCAGTTACTTGCGGCTTTGGTCGATATGGTATGGTAGCACCGCGCGGCGGGGACTGTGAGTGCAAAAAGAAAGATCATTAGTTAAAACAATTATTAATATAGAGTAGATGTTTTTATTTTATAAATTAACTGAACTTTTCAGGCTTTCAAGAACTTTTAAATGAAAATGAAAACAATTCCAATATATTTCCTTCAATCATCAAGAATATACAAGTTACTACAGCTATTTAAACATAGATGGCGCCACAAGTCAGTTCATTTAAATCTGTTATTAGACAGCATAGCTCTTACCTCCAACATGACAAGACATATCTGATAGATGCATTGGGTGATCTGCTCAGCGCTGCCGCTCAAAGTAACAGCACGCTCCGTGGAGTTTGGCAACATTTCGCTGGCCACCTGTATGGAGCAGCCCGTGGTTTGGCGTATTTCCTTTATCTTTGAGCCGCTCTTGCCTGAGTGCCGCAAAATGGAATTGTTGATGGATAAGAGAGCAGGTTAATGAGTTCCCATTTGTTTATATATATATATATATTTGGCTTATGTGCTTACCAATTAACGATCCACATTGACTGGCGGGCACAATCAATCGAATGGGTATTTGAGTTTTACCAACTTTGCCAACATCATTGAACTGCGAGCACCACTGAAACGGGTTTCAAGTTAGTAATGTGAAGCGTGAGCTAATTTCAACAATTGGATACAATAAACACTACAAGCACTGTGATATTCTCGAACCAAGACTTTCTCTTGCCGCATGCGCTGCTCGTGTGTGTGTTTTGTATCAACTATTGTCTTATGCAATCTACTTGCCACGCGCATTAATTTCAATTTGACTAGCGCACACATACCTCTTCAAATTTCTTTGTAATAAGCGTAAATGCCGAGAAGATTGCGTTTGTTGTGCCAGATACCGTTACAATGCGTTCCGGGCATGAACCGTCCGAAATGTTAATTTTGGCACCAGACTGTAAAGAATTGAAGGGTATATGTAAGTATATAAATTTTAGTTTTAGCATTTGTATTTACTCACCTCTTCGCGAAATCTGTTGACAATTTCACCCTTTTTACCAATAATACTACCAACTTCCTGTAAGTATACCGAAAACAAATGACTTGTAAGTATTTCATGAACATTTTAAATATATCGACATAATTAAGTATTTATTCATATATTATATCAAATAAATAATATTATCTCTCGTATTCCTATGCATATTCAATCACAACTTAAATTTGAATGCAACTAGAAATAAAAAAATAGGAATATCTTTGGCAAGCCGAAGACTTCAAAGGCTTACAAAATAAGTTTAACGCATATAAAAATAAACTACTATTGAATGCAATTTCGTGCAGGGTATTTTCCAAGTCTGACATTAAAATAGTCAATTTACATGTGGTTTACACTTTATTTCGGTTTCTATTTGTTGTGAGTAACATTGGCGGCGATGTGCAAATTCGATTAAATATTAAGTGATATTATACCATGTGTGTGTATATGTGTGTGTGTGTGTCAGTCTGTGTGCGTGTGTAACTACTATTGCATATTTAAGTGACACAGAAAGCGATTCACATTCAAACTCGAGCGAAAGCCCGGCCTGAAACCAACCCACCAGCCCAACCACCCACCATCCACAGACAGCACAAGCCACATGCAGAAATTGCCGTTCGTAATGAAATTTGCGGGCAACGCGTTTTACGCGTTTTAATTGATTGTAAATATATGACATAGCCACAGGGCTTTATATGTGCGCATATATCAGCATATATGTGGGAGTAAACTTCAGCTTCAACAAACTCTAATTGGCCATTCAGCAAAAGTATTAAAGCAATTTTGCTACTCACTGAAACTTAAACAAGTTTTGCACAGCGATCAATAGTAATAGAAAAAATGAATATATATATATATATATATATAGAAAAAGAGAGAGAAATAAATCACATTAATTACACAGCTGCTGTCAGCTACACTCGTGTATCTATGGGAACGTGCGGAGATTTTAGTTTTGCCAAAATCGTTTTGCTGACTGTTCTTTTTTTTTCCTATATGGGACATTAACGGCTTTAATTAAAACTGCTGTTTGATTGGAATTCTTAGAATAAATGAAAGACATGTATTTTTGAATATCAATAGAAGTTGCTTTAAACTGCAACTTTGATTTATCTTTGCCTAATTAAAATGATTTTAGCCTGCTCAATGACAGCTTACATATTTACGTAATAATTTCGATAATCACATAAATTAAAGGTAAACATATCCAATGTACACAATCTGAATTGGATTGCAATTGCTTGGCAATTAAACAAATATTTTGTTTATGCAAATGCATGTTGATTATTGCAAATGAAGCCTAGGTGGGGCGAAATGCATTCTCTTTGCCGATAAGCAAATCATCTTATGACAGGGCATGGCTTTTTAATTTGATATTTATATTTATAAAGATATATTTATATATGTTTGTAAGCTTAGCTTTTCCTGTACAACATTTATAACCAATTAAAGCTTTGCATGTTTGAGATTTAGTACAAGTATCTTGGTTAACCTTCAAACAGAGCACTTTGGGTGTTTGTCGCAAAGTTTATCTCAATTTCAAAATGCCTACCCATAGTCACACACACACACACCCACACACACACATACACAGAGGGACAATGCAAGGTATCTAAGAATTTGTTGGGCATTTTGCCAATCTGTCACAAAATTGCAGAAACAGGCAAAGCAATATAAGTATGATAGAGCTCTCCGCTCGCCCATCAGAAGCAATGTAAAAATGTTATTTGTCTTGATTTTTGCCGCTTTTGTGTGCCATTTTGCATCTACTTGTATAATATTTATGCCCATGGTGCTAGCTAAATGGCCAAAATATTTATTAGACACAAATGTCTGTAGGAATTGCCATAATTATTAGCATGATTATGGTCTATGGGTCTATGCGTCTATTGCGTTCTGATGCCTGTCTGCACTCAAGACAAATTTTGACGGGCGCTCTATAATTTATGTGGGCCCCTCCATTGAGGAGCTACAAACCAGAACACACGCAGCCTAGACCATTGGCTATTAAGTTTGATGTGCTGCTCATTAGCGACGGACGCTCATCAACATTAATATCGTGGTCAAAATGCTGCCATTACCTCGGCAACCGCTCTGCCTGCTCGCACCATCATCAAGCCAACATTTATTCGCCTGCATATCAATTGCCACTTGCGGCTTAGAAGCTTACGCAATTTGCATAAATCTGTGTTTGGCTCAAGCGTGAAGCTAAAGACATCATTGAATAGTCGCATACAATGCACACAATTTTTGCACTTTCACCTGATTGCATGGCATCGAACTGCTGGGATTCCTTTTTGGACAAGTTTTTGCGCACAGTTCACATTTTCTAAAAATGCATCACTTTTGGCCACAACACCGCAGAGAACAGGCGGCTGGCTTGTTGGGCCATTTTGCATGCCAGCAATTAAATGCTAAAATTTTGCACTTCCAACTTGCAATCGATTTGTATGCAAAAATTCACTTTTGCGGTTGTGAATTCAAAATTTTGCATACCATTTTTTGTTATTGTTGTTGCCCGTGTGTGTGCTGTAAAATATGCATGGCAAAAGTGGACACGAACTGCAGCAAAACAATGTGAACATTTTTGTGGTCCAGTGTGTACACACATCAGGTTTAGCCAGCTACAACCTAAGCAAATTGGGTTTTCAAAAGGCATGACATGTTGTATGGCCATCGATTGGGCAGCAGTTCCTTGAAATAGTAATGCATTTAGCTTAAAACAAGTTAAAAGCATATGGTTGACCAAGCTGAATAGATGGAATTGAAGTTTGTTTTAGATTGTTGCAGACTGAAATATTTATATTAAGTGAGACTAAGATTCATAAATGGAGAATGAATCATAAACTTTATGCATGAATTATTATTCAAATTAACTAAAAGGCTTACACATTAGGCAAAGGAGAGGCAAGCTTAGGTGCTGCAGTTCAATTAGTTTTTTATAATTGAGGCCTTTTATTGCTGGATTTTGTAAGAAATCCTTAGGCTTTTGAGTTGCTTAAAGTACTCCTAATATTGTGTGACAGATGTATCTCAATATTTAAATAACAAACCGTAAGAGACATGTATTAAATGCTGCGGTTTAATTAGTCTGCATAAGTTCAAGCTGACACAGTTTTATTATAACTAAATAGATATATATATTTTGCTGCTAACTTGCTTAAAGTATTGTTAATATGTTCTTAATATTTGATATAGATTTACAATAAATCTCTTTACTAATATTTACTCTTGTGATTTTCAATGAATTCACACATTCAGTTTCCTTTAAATTAATTGCTTTCACACGTAAATGGGATTTGCCCCCTTCTTCATAGATTCCTCCCGTTGATATGAGCTTCAATTGTATTTCAATATTTACATGGAAACCGTAAAAGGCATAGTGTTTCATAAGTCCTTTAAAGTTCAGGCCTAAACTATTTAAATCGAACTAAATAATTAATTAAATATTTTGCTGCTAGTTTTGTGAGCAAATCTTCAACTTTAACAATGGCTTAAAAATAAATCTCATTTTGTTTCCCAGCGTTATTTAGATTTGATATAGTTTAAGAATACTATCCAATTGGGCCCAATATTTATTATAGGACTCAATATTAATATATGATTTTGTCTTTTTCATCAACTCAAGCTTATTGACTTATACTCTTTCAAAATTATTGCTTTAATTAAGTAAACACTTAAGTGATATGCATAGCTCTTCATATATAATATTAGCTGAACATTTATCTCAATATTAATCATGCAAACATAGCTAAAGTGCATTCAAATGTATCCCAGAAATAGTTCGACTTGTTATTTAGTTTGTGGCAATTAATTAAGACCACGGTCTGAAAGAGACGAACTTTTATTTAATCAAATTAAAAATGCCACTTGCTGTGACTTGTGAGAAATTGTAATTGCTGCTGTTGTGCCCTGGCAAATTGTAAATTATTTAATTGTACAGTTTGCACATTTCTGTTTTCATTTCAAGTGCCAGGAGCAGCAGCAGCAGCAGCAGCAGAGCACACACACGTCAGCAATGCAACGCGACAAATGCGCAGCATGATTTATTAAAAAAGGGCAAGAGGGGTGGGCAGAGAGGTGTATGCGGGTAGGACCAACGCATTGCGCACACATGTGTGCAACAGCAGTAGTTTTTCGTGCAACAAGCGGCAACAACCAACACACACACGAACACGCATGTTATTGCTGCATATATCCTACCCCAACCTGCCGCCCTGCTGCCAACAGTTGTCACATTGCATTTTCCAACATTTTGTTGCAAAGTTTTTCTTGCAATTTTTCTTGAACGACTGGCGCGGTCCCCATAAATGGTTCTCACGGTTTGGCAATTGTGTTTTTGTTGTAACATGCAATGCATTTTGTTGTTGTTTATTTTGAAGAATTTTTAACGCAGTCGCATTAACACAAAAATACTAAGGCGAAAAAAATCAACAGTTTCCACCAACGCAGCAGCTGAAAATTGCACGCTCAGCATGACTGCCATATACCTATATACCTATAACTATATACACATATATATGTATATACATTTATATTTATATATATATATATATATATGTACACATTGTTTTGGTTGTTGTCTGTGCTAAGCTGCCACTATTTCGTCTTCTTCTTGTTGTTCTTGCTGCTGCTGCTCTACTAACATCAAAATTGTGTGTGGCTCTTGGCTCTTTTTGTTTCTTTTGTTGTGGCACAATTAGCACCGTCCATTCTTTAGACTTTTTAATGCGCTTCACTCTTATTCTTGTTGTTGCTGTTGCTCATTTCGCTGACTCTTCTTCTTGTTGTATGCTATTAAAGTCTCCTCGGCCACATGCTTTACAAGTTGGTCGGGTGATAAATGGGCTATCAAAATGTTGCGCTCGCTCGAGAATATTAGACAATCTGTCTGTATTCAAGTTGTCGTAAGTTTGTCTGGGCCCTACAAAAGCTTCTGCTATTATAATGTGCTAATAATTAGGCTCTGTAATTGTAGCTGGAAGGTAAACAAAGTTGCCGTCTTCTTCTTCGTGTTGTTGTTGTTGTTGTTGAGAAAT